GCGAAACTACTTTGTTTGGCCTTCCAAAAGAGGACACAACTAGAAATCAGTGGTTGACTTGTATTTAAAACACTGTTCCAGAACACTTCAAACCAAATATTCAGATGTGTGCAGCACATTTTATGGAGGACTGTTTCCTGATCCTGGTAGAGTAGACTACAATGCCGGCTGTTCTGACTCACAGATTGTAAGTCATTTTTTTTATATATATATATAAAGAATTTGCCACTGATGATTCAAACGCGAGTTTTGAGCAGTGTAGAGTAGCGCTTGTTGTTTGTCATTTCTCTGATCACAAATGCAGACATGGTTTTATGTTTACGCGGCGCGATGCAATGCAACGCGTAAAAAGACAGTATAAGTCATTATAATCCGTAATTATGTCCCCACTGGATGCAACGAATGCCTCATTTATAATGGGTTTTAATGTTTTTGTCTCGTCGCTCCGGCCGGACAGGGCATCACAATATGGTAAGGGGCTTAACATTTCTGTCACATGCTTGAGGTATTCGGCCAATCACAACACACTGGATAGCTGGCCAATCAGAGCACACCTCGCTTTTCAGACCGATGAGCTTTGTAAAAATCAACACGTTTCAGAAAGGCGGGGCATAGAGGAGAAGCAATAATGTACAGTATGTGGAAAATAATGTGTTTTTTGAACCTTAAACCGCATAAACACATTTCTTTACACCAAATACACAAAACAATGTTCTTTTTAGCAGCATCATATGACCCCTTTAATAATGGCCATCAAAATCTCTTCAGGACAGCAGGGGGGATGAGTAGATCGACAACTCATGGTGTTGCAATAAATTATTTAATGCGCTTTGCTAAATGGTCAGTTCATACCAAAAAATAATAAAAAATAAACTATTTTGAAATTATTTTAAGATTCAGATTTTTTGTAGCAGAAAAAAAATAGACCATGCTTGGAAAGCATTGCTTGTGGGAGTGATTTCATGTGTAGGTGATTCTCATGAATGCTTCTGAATGATTATTTTTAAATGCACCAGATCAGCAACACTGATTAATGAAGGATCAACTTCTCTACACATCAGCTACTTGAAATTATATTAGTAATCGCAGTGGAAGGTTCTCGCAGAGTTTAACGTCTTTTCTCCCATTGCGACAGGATTGTGGGTAGGTTCTTATCTGTCTTGTTCATCTCATGTCGCCCTCGGCATTTCAGCAGGGCTGGATTACTCATCTGCTGGATGCTTTAGCTCCGGGCCTAATGTACTGTGTCTGAGAGGATTTATTTTTTTCTTTTCTGTTTGCTTTGTCTAAGAGGAATGTTCGTTGACTTTCTTACCGAACGAGTCGAGCGAGCCATGTGACCAATCATACGATCAAGCTTGAGAAAAACAATTGTTTTGGACACTGGCACAAACTGCAAATTCAAACAAAAATGTTATTTATTTATTCATTTTATTTTACTGGACTTACTATTTTAGCTTATTTTAATTTATTAACCTGGCCTTATAGAATGAGTTAAATGACTTTCGTAATAGCTGTTTCTCACACTAGCCTGATGTCACTGTCTGTCTTAAACATGATGTCTGGTCCTACAGTACGTGTTTTGTTCTATAATTGGTAGTTGGGCACATAAGAACATGACTTAATGCTTAAGACTGAAAGTGAAGTCTGAACAGGAAGCGCGCCCTGTAAATCAGTGACTTAATTGTGTTATCAGACACGGCAGATGCGGCTGGTATGTTGTTTCAGTTGTCGTGAATCAGGTGGTGAGTAAACATCTCATGAAGTGTGTGGGATCAGACAGAGTTTTTTGGTTGGGCCTCAGCTGACAGATAGCCTACCATTTCACTACACAAGTCCAGCCCCCCATGTATTTTTCCAAGAGTCACTTGCGTAATATGTGAAGATTGATGAGATAATATGCTATTTTTACCTAGAGAAACTTTGTAAATGTCGTAATTTTACTTATTGTCTGTCGTCCGAGTACGTCAGACTAACTGCTTTTTCAAGAACTTTGTGGTTTTATGACTCACTGGCTTCTTGATCAAATATTTTCTTTGAAAGACAAACATGATGCCAGTTACGAAATAGCTTTTGCAACAATATACATATATTTGAATGAGGTAAAAATACTTTTTTCACTTCATAGTCACCTAGATCTTTCTGTGTTTCATCTTTTATTTACTCAAAGGATTTTAGCCTACTTGTAGTTTGGCTACAGGCACAATTCAACTGAGCCCTTTGTATGTTTGGCTTTACATTTGAAATCATCATAAATAAAGAGTTCTGTGGATAATGTGAGTTCATTTTTGTCTCCAACAAGAAGACTCCAGAGTTTAATTTGCTGTTTTGAATGATGTATTAAAGATATTGTAGCTTTTATCAAGGTTTTTCTAAACCACCACAACGAAGAAGAAGAAAAACACAAGTTGTGCATTGTTATGTTACCTCAGAAATGTCTTCTAATTACGGTAAATGTTTCCTCTTAAACGTACCTGTAAAAAAAGTAACTTCATTCGGAAGCTGGTCACACCACATTGGCCAGAATATAAAACACAATCTGACCGAGAGACAACAGACAGAGAGTGAGAGCAGAACTTCAAACTGCATGTCAACCACAACATGCCCCGCCCATGCGCGCGTATGATTGGCTGTCTTCTGGTGTTAACATATTATGACCCGCCCGTCAACTGTTCTGATTGGCTGGCCGTTTGGTAGAACGAGAACTTTGGAGCAAGAACTTTATATTCTCTTACTACCTAGTCTTTGAAAACATCTAGGGAAGGGAAAGGGAAAGACCGGTCAGTTCAAAACGCCTTGGACTCAGTCCATCTTCGTTGTTAGCACTTCGGATATGCACTCACAGAAAACTCCCAGAAGCGGTTTAAGTTGCAAGATGGTTCTTCAGGCTGTTGGTAAAGTTTTAAGGTAACGTTGCTTTGTTGTTTTTATAAATAAAGAAGATTTGCATGTCTATAACAGCTGCATAAACCTAAATAGTGGCTACTGGCTATATAATAAACAAAGTAACAATATTACGTTAATAAATACTGATACATAATTTATACACATTTTGAGAGCAGATATCCAGTGCATTCAGGAGAATGTAATTTCTAATAATTTAAAATGATTATTAGGCTACTTTAAGACTAATTATACTTTATACATACAGAGTGTGATATAAGAATATATTATTAAAACTATAATTATAAATAAAATATATGTAGGCTATTATTAGAAGCCGCGTCATCCACGAAAAACTTTAATTGTAAGTCACAAGTGTACATATTTATTTGAAAATACATTTTTAGATTGTTCTGAAATTATTCATATAAGGCTCTTAATTATTAGAATAATCAAACATTAGGCTGAACATTTGTTATTGGAATTGATTATTCGCGTGAGCTGTTCATAGTACGCGAATAATAATACATTCAGTTATCAGATTGGTTGAGAGATATTACGTCTAATGCATATTCATAAGCAAATATTAAACGCTTGTAATGATCCACCGCTCATTTAAATAGTTTGACAACTTCGAGCACTTGCACCGGTTATTATTACACCCGGGAAATTTAGATAATGAGTGATACATAGATAGATAGATAGATAGATAGATACATAGATGATAGATGGATGGATAGATAGATAGATAGATAGATGATGGATGGATGGATGGATGGATAGATAGATAGATAGATAGATAGATGATGGATAGATAGATAGATGGATAGATAGATAGATAGATAGATAGATAGATGATGGATAGATAGATAGATGGATAGATAGATAGATGATGGATAGATAGATAAATAGATGATGGATGGATGGATAGATAGATAGATAGATAGATAGATAGATAGACAGACAGATTGATAGATAGATGACATAGATAGACAGACAGACAGACAGACAGACAGACAGACAGATAAATAGATGATGGATGGATGGATAGATAGATAGATAGATAGATAGATAGATAGATAGATAGATAGATAGATAGATAGATAGATAGATAGATAGATAGATAGATAGATAGATAGATAGATAGATAGATAGATAGATAGATAGATAGATGATGGATAGATAGATAGATGGATAGATAGATGGATATTCCGCTAAAAACAACTGCACGTCTGTCTAAGATGAATCTTACAATGGTTTACTTTGGAATACAATAGAGAGAGAAAACGCATAGAAAAAAAATAGAATCTAATTCATTCAAGAGGGCTCTTAATTAATTCAAGAGACTTCAAACAATAAGCAGTCATACTGTAAATGTGATCAAGTATTGCATGCCATGGTTTTGAGCCTTTTTCTGTATTATGGTGTAAAAAAAAAATGAATATTGCACTCAATATTTTTGCATATAACTGCATTAAAGCACAGGTAAAACTGTAAAATTAATTTGGAAAGTTTCTGTTTGTGAGGGATGGTTTACAAAGACCTCTCTCTTCAGCCACCTCTTTGTTGTGATGCTGATGACCTCTCGCTGTACCGTCCCCATGGCGCTGTTGCTCTGTTTAACACAATACTGTCATCTCAATGGCTCTTCACACACTCCTGATACCCATGAGAACTAGGAAGTCCAAACTTGGCTAGACGCACTCAGCCAAAGACCTGCAAGTACTTTAGCATCAATGCTGAAGGTCACCATGTGATAGATAGATGATGGATAGATAGATAGATGGATAGATAGATAGATAGATAGATGATGGATAGATAGATAGATAGATGATGGATAGATAGATAGATAGATGATGGATAGATAGATAGATGGATAGATAGATGGATATTCCGCTAAAAACAACTGCACGTCTGTCTAAGATGAATCTTACAATGGTTTACTTTGGAATACAATAGAGAGAGAAAACGCATAGAAAAAAAATAGAATCTAATTAATTCAAGAGGGCTCTTAATTAATTCAAGAGACTTCAAACAATAAGCAGTCATACTGTAAATGTGATCAAGTATTGCATGCCATGGTTTTGAGCCTTTTTCTGTATTATGGTGTAAAAAAAAAAAGAATATTGCACTCAATATTTTTGCATATAACTGCATTAAAGCACAGGTAAAACTGTAAAATTAATTTGGAAAGTTTCTGCTTGTGAGGGATGGTTTACAAAGACCTCTCTCTTCAGCCACCTCTTTGTTGTGATGCTGATGACCTCTCGCTGTACCGTCCCCATGGCGCTGTTGCTCTGTTTAACACAATACTGTCATCTCAATGGCTCTTCACACACTCCTGATACCCATGAGAACTAGGAAGTCCAAACTTGGCTAGACGCACTCAGCCAAAGACCTGCAAGTACTTTAGCATCAATGCTGAAGGTCACCATGTTTGTTTGAAACTGTTATAAATGTTCCATTATAAAAGATCCAGTTTTTATTTTATCGTTATCCCGACTGTACAATAAATACATTGTGGTGCTAATATTGATATCTAGAGAGCAGTATGGTTGATGGCAAAAATAATAGCAATGTTTACGTAATAACAGATGTAGACAAAATTGCTGAAATGTAATTAACACTTATTTTACACTTAGTTTTGAGTCACTTATTAATTATTAGTTAACAACCAATGTCGATAATCTCAAACTTTTGGCCAGTTAATCACGCTCGCCAATATTTCAATCTATCACTACCCGTAAACCAACTTTATTGATGGTGCTTTTGCACTCAAAATTTTGATCTTGACCAATAGAAACATTAGTTTCCTTAATTTTTTTTGGAGGGGGGGGTTGTAATGTTATTTGACATTCAATCATGGCTATTTAAGGGTTTTCAACATCAATTTTGGGAGAAACATTGCACTGTTTTAGTGCTTTTCCATTTTTTACGTAACATAATGTCTCCCTAAAGAGCAAAAGAGTCCCTAGGTGCTGGATTGTTTTACTGCTGTTTACTGATTTCCAGATTGTAGTTTTGGTATCCATATGGCAGCTTTGAAGTTTCCAGCCCTGTTCTGTTTGAGTCATAGTGATTTAGGGATGTTTAGATATTTTAGCTGCTTGCAGATGCTGAATGACAATGTGCACAGTGTGTTGTAATGTCAGGCCTCATGCATAGTTCATCTTTGAGATTCTGAACAGCATGCTACGTTTAATGATTACTTTTGACAAGGTGTTTACCTGGCAGTGCAATTGTTTAATTGCTTAAGTTCCCTAAGAGCTCATGATCTTTATCCACATAAAACCTTTGAAGAAAACCAGTGAACGTTTCACATGCTTTAAGATAAACACACATAGTATTCATGTTTTTAATTTAGTCTCAAGATGAAATCAAGTCCAGGATTCTCCTGTTTGATTCTGATAAAACCAAAAAAATATGGAAAGCAAAACAATGGGAGTGCATTTGAGGATCCAGAACTCAATGTTATGTCAGTACCCCAATATAGTTGTTTTTTACATGAAGAAACAGTTTGTGCGTCCAAAAATCTGAACGCACATTGTTTTATTTTAGCCTTCACAGGGTTTCGTAATTTTCCAAGAAGCAGAGTTTTTGTGAATTATGTGGTGAAGGGCAAATTCTCAAGCCATTAGCTAGTTTATTTTAGGAGAAAGGAAAACTTTCTAGCTGCCAGCGGCCCTCCTGTTACACACACACACACACACACACACACATATACATATCATGCCCACTCATAGCAGTTTCCTGTAGATATATTTGCCATAAAAGGCATTGTAGTTTCCAGACTCTCAAACCAAGGCAATGGATTGACCAAAGACCTGTATCATCCACTCAGCTCTAGAAACCCATCTGTGTTTGTGTATCAAACGTTAAAATCACGTTTCTCAACATAGATTACGTTCTTGGCTCCACCTTCGTAGTGTTCACATTTGAGCTTAATCTGGTGTCACTCCACTTTTGAGGTATGTGCTTTGATTTATTCACAAATAAGCGTAAAATACGACAACAAAAAAGCTGTGAGATGTTTCTGAAATGTTGACTGTGTCAACATTGTGTGTTCAGAAACTAATCCTTTATTTTGTAGAATGGAATTTAGGGAAGACACTCCTACATTTATTTAGAAGTCACTCCCAAAACTTTTGATAGTGTATGTAACTTCAATTCTGGACATTAAAATATATCCTTTATTAGTCAGCTGAGGGATGGGTTTTGCGGGAAGCAGAGTGTTTGAGCTCAGCTGCGTGGATCCATCAAAGGATCTGGGAGATGTTCAGATCTTCCAGCTGGCTCAAGCCTCAAGTTCAAATTCCTACCAGCTGGACCTGACAGCTGCCTGCTTGTTTGCTGGCATCTCTTTCACTTGATAATTGTTGATCCTTCAATGTCGATCCTCTATACTGATCCTGGATCAGTTGTGCAAGTTCTTTGTTAATACATTTCTATCATGACAACTCTCTGAGAGTTCTGCTATGCTGCTGCTGCTGCTGCAGAGCAAGTACTGAGACCTGCTACTGCCAATACATCTACAGACAATCTGCTGTGAGCATGTAAGAGATACTGCTGCTGGACATATAACAGATATTAAATAACCCCCATATATAGCATACATTAATCACCCCATAGCAGATGTATACAGGTGGAGCTGGGGAAGGTGGAGGGTTTCTGAAGTGAGCTGCAACTTCTACAGCAAGCGCAAGCCAAGTATTTGAATGTTGAGCAGCGAGCTCATTGGCTGCTGATGTGAAAAGAAGCCAATCAGCTGTGCCAAGTGAATAATGATGTGATTATATCAAATTGAGTTAAAACCTGCAGCATCTAGAGTTTCATGACAGAACTTCATATTTATTTTAGATACAGAAAAGGAAGCCTATCCCAGATCAGTTTTGAAGAATAATTTAATGAGCGAGATATTTCATGTTCTGCTCAATCAGATTTAGAGATCATGTGTCATTTTGTGCCGTTGCGCTTCAGGTTTCCCGAGTTTGAATCCCGGCTCGAGGACCTTTCCCGATCCCATACACCTCTCGCTCTCCCACTTTACTTCCTGTCAACATACTGTTCTATCATAATAAAAGGAAAAAAAACTTTTTACAAGGTGCTGTTTTCTTACGAATGTATACAATGTGATTCATACAGAAATGTGCAATTTTTAGAAAAGCAAGCATACAATGTGATTCATAAGGAAACATGCTTTTTTTAAAAGAAAAAAACATGCATGAGGGTCCGCTTCTTAACCTAACCAGTGGGACATATGAGCAGATCGTATGAAAACATACAAATTAGATTACAAATTTGTACGAATTAGCCACCAATTCCCCAAAAAGTAAAATGGCACTGGTTGCTTGAGTCAAAAGTCAAAAGATCCCACCCAGGCCTTTGTTATTCTGGTTTCTAGATATAGTTTGGGACCATTTTTAGTGTACGTTCATTGGATGTCATTTTATCATCCATCATGTGCTGTTCTACTCATTCAGGTATTTTTTATGTCCAAAACGCAGGTGCAAGTCGAGTTCTGCAATGTTTCATACCTCCTATTGTTCCCATTTTAAGAATGAGGTGGCTCATTACTTAGGGACAGTGTCATTGTTAAAAGAGGATCAAGAAATATCCTCTTTTTTGTTCTTTGTCTCTGTTTCCTTCATATTTAAAATTTTTTATTATCGGTGACCACATTAGCCAAGCAGTAACTTGCCTCATCGTGTGAATTCCCGTGGTGATTTATCGCCGTCTCTTTCCTGTTTTACACGGAACACTAATCCGGAGTAGTTAAACGGAATGATGTCCAAATAAAGTTGAAGTTTACCAGACTTCCCACGCTCCAATGATGTTTGATCAGACCGTGCTCCATGATTGACCCTTTTGGACCTTTGACACGAGTCAATTTAAGACCTCGATATGGATGATAAGATCTTTCCCGCTCGGAAGCAATCCAGAATCCCGACAATCCCACAAACCGCTCCTTTGTCTTAGCTTCAATTTGAAAACCATGTTTATGGACTTTGGTCTCTGAGATAAGTCCCCTTCCTGGTCCTATGATGGACTGTTGTGTGTGAAAAGAGGAATTGGTGAAGGTGGTCAGAAATGTGAGGTTGGGAATGAGCTGTTTACAGTGCAGAGATGGCTTAACAGGAATTCATGTTGGTGGATGAGCTATAAATTTAGGGAGTTTCTTTGTGTGATGAAAAACAGCACTGTTTTAAAGCTAAAAGGAAGAAAAGAGTTCAAAAGAATGAGCAGTAAAGGGAAGTTCTTCATAAAAGTGCCTTATTTGTTCACATAAACATAATAAACCCTAGAGGATTTGAAGTGAGTGCAAGGAAAGGATGTAAATTCTTTATAACCTGTCTTTGCCTGTACTCTTGTTATTAGCTGTTTAAAGCCCCTGTAACCTTTGTCCCAGGCAGCTGCGGGATCTGCCACAGCAATGCAATTCTGACATTTACATGTTAAAACTAGCACTGGAAGTACAAGTCTGTTTTGACACCTGAGTTTGAAACAGACGAGAAATGTGGGTTACTCCAAAGAAGCGAAGCAGAGACGTAGTTTTAGTTTAGAAACTAGACTAGGAACAGTTGTTGTCAGTGGAAGCTCAAAAAACAATTTTTTTTTGTCTGGATCTATGAATTTATTCATTAAAAATGCAATTCACACATACAGTGACTTGAATACAGCTCTTTTGTGATGAGCATGTTTTAATTTCTAAAATTAAATTAAATATATAATTTTTTTAATTTTTTTAGGGGTCTTAAAGTAAATGTCTTAAGTGGTACAATTGTTCTGCTTATTTTTCATTGATTTATTTTTTTTTTTTTACTTTAATATTTTGTTAATATTTGTTAGGGGAAAATATCATTAAAATAGCTGCACTGATGTTGTCTGCCAAGTCAAGTCAGGTGGTGCGACCAACATGCAGAAACAAAAATCATAAAATAGGAAATTACATCATAGAGAGCACCCCTGCATACTAAAACCTGCAGCATCTAGAGTTTCATGACAGAACTTCATATTTATTTTAGATACAGAAAAGGAAGCCTATCCCAGATCAGTTTTGAAGAATAATTTAATGAGCGAGATATTTCATGTTCTGCTCAATCAGATTTAGAGATCATGTGTCATTTTGTGCCGTTGCGCTTCAGGTTTCCCGAGTTTGAATCCCGGCTCGAGGACCTTTCCCGATCCCATACACCTCTCGCTCTCCCACTTTACTTCCTGTCAACATACTGTTCTATCATAATAAAAGGAAAAAAAACTTTTTACAAGGTGCTGTTTTCTTACGAATGTATACAATGTGATTCATACAGAAATGTGCAATTTTTAGAAAAGCAAGCATACAATGTGATTCATAAGGAAACATGCTTTTTTTAAAAGAAAAAAACATGCATGAGGGTCCGCTTCTTAACCTAACCAGTGGGACATATGAGCAGATCGTATGAAAACATACAAATTAGATTACAAATTTGTACGAATTAGCCACCAATTCCCCAAAAAGTAAAATGGCACTGGTTGCTTGAGTCAAAAGTCAAAAGATCCCACCCAGGCCTTTGTTATTCTGGTTTCTAGATATAGTTTGGGACCATTTTTAGTGTACGTTCATTGGATGTCATTTTATCATCCATCATGTGCTGTTCTACTCATTCAGGTATTTTTTATGTCCAAAACGCAGGTGCAAGTCGAGTTCTGCAATGTTTCATACCTCCTATTGTTCCCATTTTAAGAATGAGGTGGCTCATTACTTAGGGACAGTGTCATTGTTAAAAGAGGATCAAGAAATATCCTCTTTTTTGTTCTTTGTCTCTGTTTCCTTCATATTTAAAATTTTTTATTATCGGTGACCACATTAGCCAAGCAGTAACTTGCCTCATCGTGTGAATTCCCGTGGTGATTTATCGCCGTCTCTTTCCTGTTTTACACGGAACACTAATCCGGAGTAGTTAAACGGAATGATGTCCAAATAAAGTTGAAGTTTACCAGACTTCCCACGCTCCAATGATGTTTGATCAGACCGTGCTCCATGATTGACCCTTTTGGACCTTTGACACGAGTCAATTTAAGACCTCGATATGGATGATAAGATCTTTCCCGCTCGGAAGCAATCCAGAATCCCGACAATCCCACAAACCGCTCCTTTGTCTTAGCTTCAATTTGAAAACCATGTTTATGGACTTTGGTCTCTGAGATAAGTCCCCTTCCTGGTCCTATGATGGACTGTTGTGTGTGAAAAGAGGAATTGGTGAAGGTGGTCAGAAATGTGAGGTTGGGAATGAGCTGTTTACAGTGCAGAGATGGCTTAACAGGAATTCATGTTGGTGGATGAGCTATAAATTTAGGGAGTTTCTTTGTGTGATGAAAAACAGCACTGTTTTAAAGCTAAAAGGAAGAAAAGAGTTCAAAAGAATGAGCAGTAAAGGGAAGTTCTTCATAAAAGTGCCTTATTTGTTCACATAAACATAATAAACCCTAGAGGATTTGAAGTGAGTGCAAGGAAAGGATGTAAATTCTTTATAACCTGTCTTTGCCTGTACTCTTGTTATTAGCTGTTTAAAGCCCCTGAAACCTCAGTCCCAGGCAGCTGCGGGATCTGCCACAGCAATGCAATTCTGACATTTACATGTTAAAACTAGCACTGGAAGTACAAGTCTGTTTTGACACCTGAGTTTGAAACAGACGAGAAATGTGGTACAATTGTTCTGCTTATTTTTCATTGATTGATTTATTTTTTTTTACTTTAATATTTTGTTAATATTTGTTAGGGGAAAATATCATTAAAATAGCTTCACTGATGTTGTCTGCCAAGTCAAGTCAGGTGGTGCGACCAACATGCAGAAACAAAAATCATAAAATAGGAAATGACATCATAGAGAGCACCCCTGCATACTGTTGTGATGGTGCTTAAAATTTGAACAAATTATTATTATTATTATTATTATTATTTATAAGGCAAGGTTAGTTCAGTTCAAAATGTCATGTGGTGTAACTCCCCCAAAACTGAATGAAAAGTTATGACTTGGTTATGACTTTAAGAAATAAAAAAGTTTACATTGAAATATAATTAAAACTCATTTATTTATTTGTTTGTTTGTACATGTACATATTTTACTTGATAGTTACACTACATGACATTTTTAGTCATTACATTTAAACTGTTTGGGAAACATGTTTAAAAAAAAATGTGCATTTGATGGTGCTAATGGCAATGAAAAAACACACTTCACTCTATGCATCTCTTCTTAACGTGTCCCTCTTCTTTTGCAGGAAATCCAAAACGAAGCCCAATGGAAAGAAAGCACCCGCTGAAGAGAAGAAGCACTACATGGAGCCAGAGTACACAAAAGTGCGGGTCGTGGACTTCGACCTGAAAGATTTGGTGTCGCTTCCCACCAAAGAGATCGACCTCAACGAATGGCTCGCCAACAACAGTGAGTTCCTAAGCAAACATTACAGCCCCTTATGAGTGTTTGCCTTGTATTTTGAGGCTTAGAGTCTTTGTCTTCAAAAATAGCCTTCTGCCAGTCAGGAGTTTAGAAAACAGTCACATTTTTGTGTGTGAGTGCAAAACAGTTGGGAGTATAAAGCAGAGCATGACCTTTTTAAATCGTAAATGTGAAAATTAAAATGTGCAAACAATTTTATTATAAACAAATGTTATTTTCTGTTGAAAAGGAAAGTGCTGCTTGCTAACTAATGTTCATCTTTATGGTTAATGATTTGAACAAACCCCTGAATTTCACCTGGTGAACTAACGCTTTCATGTCTGATGCTAGCATGTTGCTAAGCTACGTATAATTAAATGAAATAAAAACAGCATAGTACACAAAAATATTGTGAAATAATGTTTTTAACTATTTTATTGATAATTTGTGGTACTGAATGAAATATGTTTTTAATACGTTTATAACCAACATTTATCTTGCATCGTCCACCATCTTGTATTTTTTTAAGCTTGTCACAGAGCATTCTGGGATTTCCTGCTTCAGAAAAAAATGGTATTTAATGATATTAAATACCTCGCGCTGTTAGCAGAGGAGCCTTTACCGATTGCCTCCATTGATCTGTGATTGACGTCACCTCCCAATAACAAACACGCCCCATAGTATAGTCCCGCCCCTAACATTGATTGACAGCTTTCCGTGTAGACATCGGAAATTCAAATGCAAATTACGATTTCATTTGAGTTTTGGCAGGTTACATGCATGACGCAGAGAGAGTGACAAAGCAAATGTGGTAATTAATATTGCTATTTAAATATGACAGGTTCATAACACTTAAGACATGGGAAATACAATTGCAAATGAACTTTGCTTTTTCATTTGAAATGTGGCAGTCACTGTGCGTTCGCAAAAGTGAAAATGCAAACAGTAATGCAGTTGCGTTTGGATTATGTCACAATTTATACGTCCACATATGGAAAATGCAATCGAAAATACAATTTGCAATTCCTTTTGAAAATTGTCCTGAATTTTCCTCCATAGTCTTCCGCTTCAGTGATTCTGAAATATCAATGAAAAATTTGTCCCAACTTTTCGAATGTCACTTTTGAAAACGTTTCTTTTGTCATTTGCAGCAACAACCTTCTTCAATCTCATAAATCTGCAGTATAGCACAATCTCAGAGTTTTGCACTGGGGACACATGTCAAGCCATGACGGCCTGCAATACGTAAGTTTTCCTTTCTCTTTCTTTTGTCTGTCTTTCTAGCTCTTTCTTCCTCCAGGCGTGTCCTGGGACGAGAACCAGAACCCTCCTTTTACCAGAAGTGCTTCTGGATCAAATATTTCTCATATTTACAGTGTTTTTCCATTTTAAGACCAGATTCCAGATCAGTCTTTGTGTGAATCTAGGTTTGTGGGTCTGATTGGGGTTAATGCATGACTGGAATGAAAGCTGACACACATTTTACTGAAGCCAGTGCTTGTTTGGCTTTCAGATGTGTTCTGAATGAGAGAATACAAGGGAACTATTCTCAGAATCAGGGATTTTGTACGTTTCTTGGAGGCGGAATCAATTAAATGACCTTAAAGGCCTATAGTTACATGTTCTCACAGGCTGTTTGGGACGATCAGGGGCCCAAACATAGGATTAAAGAGATCAGTTATACTATTACTTTAGGCAACATTTACCTTACAGCTTTAGTCTCGACCAGCTCAGTGATAGCACAAATTGTTTTTTACTAATTTTAAAAGTACTGTTTAAGTGCATTTAAATTGACGAAATAATATATTCAGAGAATGTTGTATTTTTACCTAACAACAACAACAACAACAATACTAATAGTAATAATTATAATTATTATTATTATTTTATTACTATTAATAATAATAATAATAATTTATAATGCATAAATATAATGGTAATTAATAATAATACGTATTATTATTATTATAAATATAATTACTACTACTGTTATTATTCTAATAATACATTTATAATATGCAAGTTATTATTATTATTATTACTGTTATAAATAAATACACATAAAAACAAATACATATTTAAACAAATGCAAATAAATAGAAATGTAAAACAAATAAATATATTACTAAACACATTTTTATTAATATAACTAATATAAAAATAAATATAAATAAAATACAAACTATTTACATATTAGATATATATACAAATATACATATAAAATATACATTTATGCATTTATTTAATGTATAATTTTCAAGCACAATGTTAATGATTATTATTTTAATTAATATTTCAGTCATTTTGTGTTTATTTGAAGAATTTGCAATAATTTGTTTTATAACAATTTGCTGTTCCCAAAACAGCTGTCATTATCATCATGCAAAGCTTTTTAGAAAACTGACTTTCTATAAAATTGTTTAAACTTGATTATGATGGAAATGAGCATTGTAAGGAATGTCATTGATTTTAAGTTTTTATTTTATTTTATTGTTTTATGATGTGAGAGCAGCTTTATTACCAAAACGCTCAGTATTTGAGTATATCTTCACATAGTTTAACTAACTTATTGAACATTTTCTCAAGAAAAAAATAAACTAAAATAAATAATAAAATGAAATAATCCACCCTCAAACGTTATACCAAAATCCACTTGAAGGTTGATCATAAAGGTTTTACTATTTAAAATGAAACAATCTGAAGAAGTTTCATTTTCAAATTTCAAGCACTGAAAAAAATGCCTGTAATTGTAGAATCACCTTTATACAAGTCAAACGGAAAACCGTGCCTCCATCTCTACATTCCCACAGCCAACCGTGTAGACTTTAAAAATCTCTGCTCGTCTCGTTCGGCCTGTTGGTCCGGAGTGACGCCTGGGTGTGAATCTCTAAAGACTGACCCTGTAGAACCAGATACATGACTATTCATGACAAACGTTAAAGGACGTGAATTACCAACACACAAAACACCAACAATTACACGCTCACCTCAGGCATTCCTCGCAGGGCAAGGATGGGCGCGCTCGTCAAAACACGAGCCGTATTTACCGTCACCGCCGCTGTCCACTGATAAATCAATCACTGATGAAAAGGAAAGGGAGGGACTGAGATGCGCAGATAGGCCTGATGTCCATTTTATTGTTATTTATGTGCTCATATGTTGAGGTATGTGCTTATGTGTGTTTTTAGTAGGTGTTTCTTGAACTACAAACACTTCCATTTCCCATGGGTTGATTTTTATTAAAGTTGCATTCATGTCAGTGCTGATAGCCTTGTGGACAGCGCGCCGACATACAGCGCCGTTGCGCTACGAGCGTCAAGAGTTCAAATCCTGACTCGAGGACCTTTCCTCATCCCATCTCCCATCTCTCTCCCACTTCACTTCCTGTCAGCTCAGGAAATAAATAAATGCCAAAAATAAATATTTTAAAAACTTGACTTTTTCAAATTGTTTTTATTCATAAATTGTGCAGTCTTACCCTTGTCCCAAAAATAGACTTTCTATTTCTAAACATTGAAAACATTGAATTAATTTAATTAATTAATGGATTGATTAACTAATTAATTAATTAGAAATAAAAAAACTAATATTCAGAACTTGTTTTATAAATATATAATTTAGTTTTTACAGATTATGATAATTAGGGATGCACGATATTATCGGGCCAATATCTCATACAGCGCCGTTGCGCTACGAGCGTCAAGAGTTCAAATCCTGACTCGAGGACCTTTCCTCATCCCATCTCCCATCTCTCTCCCACTTCACTTCCTGTCAGCTCAGGAAATAAATAAATGCCAAAAATAAATATTTTAAAAACTTGACTTTTTCAAATTGTTTTTATTCATAAATTGTGCAGTCTTACCCTTGTCCCAAAAATAGACTTTCTATTTCTAAACATTGAAAACATTGAATTAATTTAATTAATGAATGGATTGATTAACTAATTAATTAATTAGAAATAAAAAAACTAATATTCAGAACTTGTTTTATAAATATATAATTTAGTTTTTACAGATTATGATAATTAGGGATGCACGATATTATCGGGCCAATATCGGAATCGGCCCGATATGAAACATGATGCCGATATGTCTTGCCGATAAGAGGAATACATTAACTCACATGTGCTCAGGGTGTGCTAGCGATTAGATCACGTCAGCAGTGTGGCTCATTCTTGAAGCAAAGTTTGCCTGAATGATGATTAGATTCACTGTTTTGGATCGCTGCATTTAAACTGAGAATGCATGCTCGGTGTGTGATAGAGTAAACAGTAATAGCACGTGCAGCGGCAGGAGCGGCATCCTCCCCCGGGTCCTAATGCCCGCTCAGTAAGGAGTTTTAATTCCGTAGGGGGCGCTGTTGGCCTACTTATAATAAGATGAAAGCAAAATACACAAATAATATTTAGACTGTTTCCTGATTAAAAATAAAGCAGTAATTGATGCCATAAAATCACAAGTATATTTTGATTTAAAGGTCAGAATCTATAGCTTACATGAAAAAAAATCACTCGGGCCAATATCTGAATCGGCCCGATATGAAACATGATGCCGATATGTCTTGCCGATAAGAGGAATACATTAACTCACATGTGCTCAGGGTGTGCTAGCGATTAGATCACGTCAGCAGTGTGGCTCATTCTTGAAGCAAAGTTTGCCTGAATGATGATTAGATTCACTGTTTTGGATCGCTGCATTTAAACTGAGAATGCATGCTCGGTGTGTGATAGAGTAAACAGTAATAGCACGTGCAGCGGCAGGAGCGGCATCCTCCCCCGGGTCCTAATGCCCGCTCAGTAAGGAATTTTAATTCCGTAGGGGGCGCTGTTGGCCTACTTATAATAAGATGAAAGCAAAATACACAAATAATATTTAGACTGTTTCCTGATTAAGTCCTGAATTTTCCTCCATAGTCTTCCGCTTCAGTGATTCTGAAATATCAATGAAAAATTTGTCCCAACTTTTCGAATGTCACTTTTGAAAACGTTTCTTTTGTCATTTGCAGCAACAACCTTCTTCAATCTCATAAATCTGCAGTATAGCACAATCTCAGAGTTTTGCACTGGGGACACATGTCAAGCCATGACGGCCTGCAATACGTAAGTTTTCCTTTCTCTTTCTTTTGTCTGTCTTTCTAGCTCTTTCTTCCTCCAGGCGTGTCCTGGGACGAGAACCAGAACCCTCCTTTTACCAGAAGTGCTTCTGGATCAAATATTTCTCATATTTACAGTGTTTTTCCATTTTAAGACCAGATTCCAGATCAGTCTTTGTGTGAATCTAGGTTTGTGGGTCTGATTGGGGTTAATGCATGACTGGAATGAAAGCTGACACACATTTTACTGAAGCCAGTGCTTGTTTGGCTTTCAGATGTGTTCTGAATGAGAGAATACAAGGGAACTATTCTCAGAATCAGGGATTTTGTACGTTTCTTGGAGGCGGAATCAATTAAATGACCTTAAAGGCCTATAGTTACATGTTCTCACAGGCTGTTTGGGACGATCAGGGGCCCAAACATAGGATTAAAGAGATCAGTTATACTATTACTTTAGGCAACATTTACCTTACAGCTTTAGTCTCGACCAGCTCAGTGATAGCACAAATTGTTTTTTACTAATTTTAAAAGTACTGTTTAAGTGCATTTAAATTGACGAAATAATATATTCAGAGAATGTTGTATTTTTACCTAACAACAACAACAACAACAATACTAATAGTAATAATTATAATTATTATTATTATTTTATTACTATTAATAATAATAATAATAATTTATAATGCATAAATATAATGGTAATTAATAATAATACGTATTATTATTATTATAAATATAATTACTACTACTGTTATTATTCTAATAATACATTTATAATATGCAAGTTATTATTATTATTATTACTGTTATAAATAAATACACATAAAAACAAATACATATTTAAACAAATGCAAATAAATAGAAATGTAAAACAAATAAATATATTACTAAACACATTTTTATTAATATAACTAATATAAAAATAAATATAAATAAAATACAAACTATTTACATATTAGATATATATACAAATATACATATAAAATATACATTTATGCATTTATTTAATGTATAATTTTCAAGCACAATGTTAATGATTATTATTTTAATTAATATTTCAGTCATTTTGTGTTTATTTGAAGAATTTGCAATAATTTGTTTTATAACAATTTGCTGTTCCCAAAACAGCTGTCATTATCATCATGCAAAGCTTTTTAGAAAACTGACTTTCTATAAAATTGTTTAAACTTGATTATGATGGAAATGAGCATTGTAAGGAATGTCATTGATTTTAAGTTTTTATTTTATTTTATTGTTTTATGATGTGAGAGCAGCTTTATTACCAAAACGCTCAGTATTTGAGTATATCTTCACATAGTTTAACTAACTTATTGAACATTTTCTCAAGAAAAAAATAAACTAAAATAAATAATAAAATGAAATAATCCACCCTCAAACGTTATACCAAAATCCACTTGAAGGTTGATCATAAAGGTTTTACTATTTAAAATGAAACAATCTGAAGAAGTTTCATTTTCAAATTTCAAGCACTGAAAAAAATGCCTGTAATTGTAGAATCACCTTTATACAAGTCAAACGGAAAACCGTGCCTCCATCTCTACATTCCCACAGCCAACCGTGTAGACTTTAAAAATCTCTGCTCGTCTCGTTCGGCCTGTTGGTCCGGAGTGACGCCTGGGTGTGAATCTCTAAAGACTGACCCTGTAGAACCAGATACATGACTATTCATGACAAACGTTAAAGGACGTGAATTACCAACACACAAAACACCAACAATTACACGCTCACCTCAGGCATTCCTCGCAGGGCAAGGATGGGCGCGCTCGTCAAAACACGAGCCGTATTTACCGTCACCGCCGCTGTCCACTGATAAATCAATCACTGATGAAAAGGAAAGGGAGGGACTGAGATGCGCAGATAGGCCTGATGTCCATTTTATTGTTATTTATGTGCTCATATGTTGAGGTATGTGCTTATGTGTGTTTTTAGTAGGTGTTTCTTGAACTACAAACACTTCCATTTCCCATGGGTTGATTTTTATTAAAGTTGCATTCATGTCAGTGCTGATAGCCTTGTGGACAGCGCGCCGACATACAGCGCCGTTGCGCTACGAGCGTCAAGAGTTCAAATCCTGACTCGAGGACCTTTCCTCATCCCATCTCCCATCTCTCTCCCACTTCACTTCCTGTCAGCTCAGGAAATAAATAAATGCCAAAAATAAATATTTTAAAAACTTGACTTTTTCAAATTGTTTTTATTCATAAATTGTGCAGTCTTACCCTTGTCCCAAAAATAGACTTTCTATTTCTAAACATTGAAAACATTGAATTAATTTAATTAATGAATGGATTGATTAACTAATTAATTAATTAGAAATAAAAAAACTAATATTCAGAACTTGTTTTATAAATATATAATTTAGTTTTTACAGATTATGATAATTAGGGATGCACGATATTATCGGGCCAATATCGGAATCGGCCCGATATGAAACATGATGCCGATATGTCTTGCCGATAAGAGGAATACATTAACTCACATGTGCTCAGGGTGTGCTAGCGATTAGATCACGTCAGCAGTGTGGCTCATTCTTGAAGCAAAGTTTGCCTGAATGATGATTAGATTCACTGTTTTGGATCGCTGCATTTAAACTGAAAATGCATGTTCGGTGTGTGATAGAGTAAACAGTAATAGCACGTGCAGCGGCAGGAGCGGCATCCTCCCCCGGGTCCTAATGCCCGCTCAGTAAGGAGTTTTAATTCCGTAGGGGGCGCTGTTGGCCTACTTATAATAAGATGAAAGCAAAATACACAAATAATATTTAGACTGTTTCCTGATTAAAAATAAAGCAGTAATTGATGCCATAAAATCACGAGTATGTTTTGATTTAAAGGTCAGAATCTATAGCTTACATGAAAAAAAATCACAAACAAGACACTTAATGTTATATATACTGATTTATTCATTAAGGTGTAATATGTTATATTTTTAAAACAAATTATGAGCTCTAAAAGATTTTCAGAATTTTTACAACTCTTTTGCTTTAGACCATCTACAAATGTTAAATCTTAAAATAAAATGTTATGGTCACCACTGCATCTTTCTGGGAAAAAAATTATTAATATATAGTTTATTTATAGTTATTATTATAGCTGTCATTATAAAATAACTTTGTTATTGTTTATTTAATTCTAACAAATAAGTTCTTGTTAAAAATGAACCAAAATTAAAAATAATTATATATCGGTGTCTGCATCGGCTATCGGCCAAAATGAGTTGAAAATTGTTGGCATATCGGATATCCAATATCGTGCATCCCTAATGATATCGTCATTGACACCATAGGCCAAATATTGATGTGTAGATTTTTTAAGAGTAAGATAACAGTTTTAATAAAAACACTGAAGAAATGTGAGACTAATGATTTGTGATGGGGGGGAAAAATCAAGTTAATCATTTGTAATGAAAAATAAATGCCATTATTATTTAAATGTTTTTAAATGTGACATTTCAGCAGTGTATTTTAAACCAGATGTTTGTAAAATAAATTAAATGTTTCTGGAAAAAAAAAAAGATCAAATTAAATAAAATATATACAAGTGATTTTTTTCCCCTAAAATTTGAAAAAGTGTCAGAAATACCAAAATTGGGGTATTTTGTGTCAAAAAAAGGTTTTCATTGACTCATTGAAGAATCACCCTAATTCACCCAAACTTGTTCCTTGTGTACATACTCTGATAAAACACACTCCAAAGTATTTTCATGAAAATGCATGACCATGTTAAGATTAGTAGGCCTTTTAATCGTAATATTTCATGTTTTTCATGAAGAGTTTTATGCAGGTAGATTCAGTACTTGTGCTTTTGTGACCGTGAATCGATCTGCCACCGTTTGGACTTGGAATCCGCTCTCAAATCTGTAACTCAACCGTGTCATGTGAAGATATTTGAGAACATTGAGACGCTCGCTGGCATTCAGCCCGACATTTACTCACCTGTCCATTCAGAGCCGTGTAGCGTCTGTGTTTATGTGCTAACTGCGCTTTATAGTTCACCATGACGGTTATTTCAGGTCAACGTTCAGCTGATGTTTGAGCTGCTCGTCCGTTGAGTGATCAGCATTGGTTGTGCGGTCAGTTATGCATTCAGTCTGCATTCCTAGAGATTTGTAATGTCTACAGCCCCTCAAACCCACGCTACCCTCCCAAACTCACTGTCACCATGAGCAGTCCTCCTTAAAATTCTGATAGGAGCTGTATATTTAGTACACTTTTAATCGGTAAATTGTTCACTTTATCCTGAAGTTAGTAATTTTCACTGTTCGTCTTCTTTTTTTACAGGATATACTACTGGTATGACGAGAGGGGGAAGAAGATGAAGTGCACAGCGCCTCAGTATGTCGACCTCGTCATGACTTTTGTGCAGAAATTAGTGACGGACGAAGAAATCTTTCCCACAAAATACGGTGTGTATGATTGCTGCCCTCTAGCAGTCGTAATAGAGAAATACAAGAGTTGAGATTTGTAAGTTTGAAGTAGAATTCATTAGATCAGTGGCACCCTCTGGTTTTCATTGAGGAGAATGAGTTTTGTGAATGTAATTTCTTTTTTTAACTAGGAAGGAAATGTATTAAAATTAATTAATTTCAGAAACAAAAATATTGATCACTTGTGCCTATTTGTTTTACACTTTAATTTAATTCTTGTAAATGAAAGTGAAACGTTTCTTTTTTGTCATGTCAAATAAAACTCAAACCATAAAAACAAATTACTTGAAGTAAAATATTAATATAATTACTGAAATAATAAAATAAAATACAAACACAACTTGTTTTGTATTACCTAGTTGCCAAGGCAAGCGTTTCCTTTCTTGTTGAAAGTTTAAATAGTAAAATAAATCAATTACTGGGCTCACTTTAAAGAGACCGTGGCTCTGGAGCTGCAGGGACACTTGAACACACTGTACGCACATTTCATCGTCTTCGTCAGGGAATTCAACCTGGTCGAGCCCAAGGAGACCTGCATCATGGACGACCTGTCGGAGGTGCTGTGCGCCCCCCTGCCGCCCCATACACACAACCACGTGACCGAGAGATGAGCCTCGAGCCGCGAACTCGAGGACGACGACGAAACGTGCGAGGCCTCCTCGGACAGGCCCCTCCGTCACTATTTCTCATGAGAACTGATCAAAAGATGGGGCTGAGGGCCGGCGGTCTGCAGTTCTCGTACCAGCACAGATTGGTGTCAATGTTTCCTACAGGACAAAACAATCTGTCGCCATTCTCATTTATACAGGAACAATTTATATTTTACTTTGCATTTTTATTATCGTTTTTGCGCATGCGCTCTCAGAGGTTTCTGTTTTCTTTTAGGGAATGGTGTTTCAGCTCGGCTCTCATCGGTGCCTTAGAATTATAGCTAAGGTATTGTCTGTTTATATGCGACAACGTTTAGAAATGTATCATTGACCTCTAGCTCCCCCTTGTGGAGGGAGTGACGTCACACACACCGACTGACTTTTTATGATCTCTGCAGCCTTATTTCACATAAAACTAGTGCGAAATCTCTCTTTTTTCATATTCTAGCCATCATTATCCGTGTCTTTGTGTTTTTAAATCATTTCCAATGTACTTATTAGTCTTTTACGATTATGTATAAAGGGTTTGATGGTTTGAATGATGCTTTAGAGAAAGTCTGGACTTGCTTTGTAGGTTTCCGACAAGGATATTAGCGATATCTGCATCTCTGCTCGCTCAGAGAGACGCTGCAGATGCGGACTTATGATTGTTGCATGGCAGTTGATTTGCTGTGTTGCATTGATGAGCACATCCTCCAGCGTCACGACCTTTATTTTTTATTTCACTTTTTTCTTTTAAGTTATCAGAGGTCATGAATATTGTGGCAGCCCACGTGTGTAGAAAATGCACATTAAGTTTTTGTTTCCCAAGAAATAGATTGAAGCTATATATATATATATATATATATATATATATATATAAAAAAA